ACATGTAGGTGATTTAAAAAAAATTGAAGTCAGTCCAAACAGTATTTGTTAAGTTATAAGAAGTTGTAAGAATTTGTTACAGACGCCGATCGCCAACCGCCAACCACCAACCGCCAACCGTCATCCGCCGTAAAAAACGGAGACCACCACCATTTTCCACTTTTTGGTGGTGACATAAAACGAACTCTCTTTCACATTTAAAACAGTTTACGTTCTTATAATCCATAATCCCACCTGTTATTCCCAAAAAGTTCAATCGTTTTGACTTGAGGAAAATACTTTTAAGAAGAAATTTCAAGAAGTTTGAGCCAGTAGAATTCAAATGGAAACATCAGCTTTATGCAGGTTAATACACGGAAATAAGCATTTTAACTAAATTATGTTTCTGTTTTCATGCACGAATGTTGCCCGAGCCTTGGATGTATCACAATATCCGATATAAATCCTCATTCGATCCACGTTAAACCCCCTTGGAACAATTTGGATTCCATGCGAGCCCTACGTACCGAGTGCTCTTAATGTAACGCTCATGGGCAATAAATTGGATGTCGTTGCGTTTAATCTCAAACAGTAATATTTTTTATAATTTACAACATATAATGCATTTGTACTGAATATCAGTTCGTTTCCCTTTTAAAACACCCATGTACAGTAATACCTCCTGTGTTAGTGAACCCATCTCTACAACAGTGAGCATTTTTATTTCGCGAAACCTTTTTTCCCACATTGACCCCGATGTAAATTGCATTCCTATTGTGCACAATTCATCCTATAAAAAGTGAACTCTAAATCTTGGCATAATTGAAATATCCTGTGCATAGGGATCATTAAACCATATATATGATTTCTCGCGACTTTGAGAGCTTCCTTTTGAGGGCTAAATACTTTATGTCACCTGTCATTGGGGCTTTTATAGTAATTATAATTCTTAATAAGCCTCTCAAGAAAATGTTCAATATACATAAGTTTTACTATACGCTCAAGCAGGTGGCTCTCATTACGAACATCTCTAGTAAACCCCAACGACATTTTAAACGACCACATGGACACCAGTAGAGCATACCTATGCCTCAGTCACATTTGATCTACGGCAACCGTATGGCGGACGTAGATTCCCTAAATCAAGAGAAATATGCAGCAATATAGGGATAATCAGTATGACGATTTTCTATTTCGATTTTGTGAAGCTATGGCCGCCGTAGAGCAAATAAGACTTACGCTGGTGGGCCCCTAATTATGGTTCACACAAAACAGTCAACTAATATCTTGGCATTTTCATTTTATTTCATATCTTTAGTAATAATGTACAATAACCAGACATTGTAACATGATTGTATAATGAGAGAGTATGAGATATGATATGCTGGTAAACTAGATAACACTATATCCTAACAACCTCCATTGTATAGCCCATGGGGTGTTATTTGGTACTGTTTACATTATGGATCTGGAGAAGTTACACAATCAAATAATGATAAATACTACTCATTCGGCATTCTTTACATTACTTATTAATATAACAGACACGTGAAATATTTTGTTGTGCACTGTGTATTATATTGTGATATAACACGATTTCTGATGTAGAATAGATAAAAAAGATCAAGTTCACCAGTGCAAATCTGCAACGAACTCTGGGGTATCTATTTTTCATAAGAATAGATTACTTTAATATTCACAATTTTTGAGATGTCAACATAATACATAATATCTGATTTGTGAAAAACAATACATCATAACAGCACACTCAATTGGCAAGTACTTTTCAGATTTTTAAGACACAAAAATAAATATATGATAAGTGTTAAAACAAGTATTAATCATAATAACAATTGCTACATTAAATAGCAAGTGACACTTTTATGTTGGCAATTTATTGTTACTTTTATGAACATTTAAAACTGTGCAATGTATGACAATATGTACAATAAATATCCGGTACACTGTTGTGACAGTTTGAACACAAAAAACCCTGTCAAAATGAAAACTTAGAAGACACTTCATCCAACTATATCCTTTTATAGTCTATGAGGTATTCTGAAATATTTTGTAACTTGCATTGAGACTTGATATGATATCAATAAAACTTCTCTTCCCCTTTTGTGACACAAAACATAGAAAATAAAGTTTATTTCAGCTGGTCCCAACTGTGTTGGCTTTAAAAAGGTTTTGGCTTATTTCAAATAGGCAGGGAAAGCTACACGTTTTAAGAGAACTTGTACATGAACAGATAATATTATAACCATCTCAATTGATTTTTCAATTAAGAAGTACATACTATGAAGGGAAAACTAATTCCTAAAAGGACCATAATTCTACAAGTTCACATATAAGTTTTCTTAAAAAAACATGTAGCTTAACCATCCCCCTAGAATCATATTCACTCATAATCAACCTTCAGAGAATCTGACGATTCTTACATTTGGCTTAGTACAATGACATCGAAAGGATTGGCAATGATAACATTGGCTTTGTGGTCAAGTTCTATTTTGGCATTGAATAAGACAGATTCAGTATTGGTCAACAGATGTCATTTTTTAATTTTTGATTCTTTTAATATCCTGACTGAAAAAGAACAATATTTCAATTTCGACTATAATTTACTCCATTCGTACATTTAATACACTAGCAGTATAAAAGACATGTTCACATGGCCATGGAGAAACATAATTGTCCATCATTTTGACTTCACGGTTTTACTTACATACTTGATCTAATAATACGCCAACAAGTAACAATTCCTGTTTTCAAGGTATTTTGCTTAAGGTAGGTTGAGAACAACAAATAATTTCATTAATTAACCTATTACATGTAGGTTTGCATAGAGATAAACAACACACTCGATCCACCTTAATTTAAATTTCTTCATAGCTAGGTCAACATAAGTCCCCAAACTGCACAAAATAAATATTTCCTAAAGTCTCTTTATTTAGGTGAATGTTAAACCAGCTTCACTGTAGACCTTAAAGATCTTCTCAAGGGCGTTAATGTAGGCTGCAGTACGGAGATCTAGGCCTAAGTTGTATTTCATAGCAGTCCTCATAATAGCCTGAAACAAAAACATATTTTCAATCACTATTGCTATATTCATTTAAGATATTATCAAAACAAATATTTTCAATACATGCATGTATATGATTAGAATTGAAATCTAACTAGGTGTCATACTATACAGTTTATTGAGTTCCATCATTTTGGCTTGTATGATTTTGGAAATGTTTATTGTATATTCCAATTTGCCAAAACTTTTGGAAGAGAGTGTAGTCTCTCTCAGTGTATAACACCCCAGTCACATTTGTCGCACAGCGGCCGCAAGTTGACCGCAGATCAATTAAATCGGTGAATTTCTGCGGCGAGCGTAGAAAAACTACGCTCGCCTTGCGGCCTCCGTACGGCGTATGCAGATTTTTACAGGCCGCAGGGAAGGCGTAGAAATTATAACTTGGAGTTATAATATTTGTTCATTTCTGAGGTCCCCGTAGAAATCAACTGGTTCAACAAGATTGAATCATTATTTGTCAATGTTTCACGATCACTTTTCATTTGATATTACATCCTAGCACTATGAATAACATTTATAAATTGTCCCCATGTAAATAAAATGAAAAAAGTATTATTTATCAACAGAAATTTAAAATTCACCGTGCGGCTGCAGTGGGAAATGTGACTGCAAAAGTATGAGAGCGCAGAAATTCCACGGCGAGCGTAGAAATGTTACTGGCTGCAGAAATGATAGACCGCAAGGTCGCCGTAGGAAATGTGACAGGGGTGTTACTTTTACTAAATCAATGATAATAAACTTACTCTTGATGATCTTTCCATGGTATATTCTAGACCTGAGTGGACTATATCTTTCTCAGATGCTCCCTAAAATCAGACAATTAATCAATTTTGACATATTTTAAAGATTCTTAAATGATAGGGTATGAGGCAATTGACCTTTTGCAATCAGAATTCAGGTATTTTGTTTATGGATACTGTTGTCATGTATTTTGTCTCATTGGTGTGACGTCATATAGAAATGATATTAGACATGATGGAGAGACAAAATGGCGGACATGTGGCAGTTTTGAGCAGGAAATATAATTGTTTCTTTTAAGAAAACCATGGTTCGGATATTCACCAGGTATGCCGATTTGACTAGATCATGAGTATATCTTTATATGTGTGAAGTTTCGGTGAAATTCCTACTAAACATCAATGCCTATGCGCCCCCCCCCATTTTTTTCAAAATTGGGGGCCCTTAACCACTATCTAAATCATGTCAGTAAGATCTTAGACTTGGCATGTGCTTAGAATGAATGCTGATCTAGTCAAATCGAACACTTTCGTGAAAAATATATGAATAAAGTACGAAATACAGAAGATAATCTCTCAAAATCAAAACGTTATAGCAGTGTGGCCTAATTGTGACGTCGCTACAAGATAGAATTCATCCAGTGATCGCAAATCATCAAGAAGTGCAACATAAAACATCAATGAGTTTCTTTACATGAGACGCTGTCTTTTTTTATCAGATGTGACTGCAACTGTTTATCTTGAAAAGAGGTTTATTTATGTAAAATCTATCAATACCCCTTTCAATATACACTGTATTTTTTACTTGTTTTTTTAACTGTAATACAAAAATCAACGACATTATTTCAAAATTCCCTGGCATTTCCAGATCTGAAGGAACCTTGAATAAGAGAGTATTTTAAAATTCACCAATCAAAGGTTTGCGTGAGACCCCCGTGGAAGGAAATAAAAATTAGGCAGTTCCCTATCCTGAGAGCAATAACAACTGGTCAAACATGGTCAGAATTTTGATTACTAGAAATATACATGCCAAAGGTTCCTTCCCCCCTTTTTTAACATATTATTTATTTCCTTCATGAACAAAATGAAACAAAGTACTCAAAATCCCAACCCCTTAACATATTGCATGTCAAATTCCAAATCCTCTCAGCATGGAGGGGGGGGGGTGTCTCACTAAAATGTTTGAATGGTGTATAACTTACAGAAATTCTGTTCTCGAATGCCTCACTAGGGGTGATAGGTATTCTTCCTCCTGCTTTGCCAAACTTACGCTCCAATGAATGTTGCACACTCTCTGCAAAACAACACAGCCAGGATACAATACAACAAGGTAATAAAACACTTTCTGCGAAACAACACAGTCAGGATACAATACAACAAGGTAATAAAACACTCTCTGCAAAACAACACTATCAACTTTTATCAGGATACAATACATCAAGGTTATAGATTCGTCTGTCTTTGTCCCAGGGACATAATCGAATATTCAATATAAAATAAGATTTTGATAAGAAAGTACATAAGCTGTTTGTTTACACGGTGTTATAGCATGACAGATACGCCACCTCTGAAAACGAGGTTAGTCGTATACGATCACTGATTTATCCAATAAAATGGCCACGATGAAACAGAAAGCTAAGGTAGGTGCATTATGTTCTACTACTGCGTATCAATAAAAGCATGAAAGATTTATGTAAGCGTCGCATTCGGTGATGCATTCAGTAATGTTTATTTTGAACGTAGTCTTTGCAAATCGACGCCCATGGATAACATGAAATAAGCGAAAAACTGTCCAGTTTGAAATTCAAAACTTCATAAAATTTAGTAATTGGTTTCTTTTCTTCGTTAGGACATGCTCTACATTGCGCAACAACCTTGGTGTATATAAATGTAACATACATACGATCATACAAAGCCAATTAAGCATTGTAAACCACTTAATATGTCTACTCAAGCCATAATAATGTATTTTGAATTTGCGGATACGCCAAAAATTGATAGACAGTTACGCGTACCTCGTTCATATATGTAAAACCGAATCATTTCATATCGCTTGTGATCCAAAATTGAAATGTTTTTCAACCGGATTTGAGTTTTGTAAGCTATAATAGATGAAATCGTATTATTACCACCTTGCAGGGCCTGTTCTAGGGGTTTTAGTTCTAGTTTAAATTGCTATATTGACGTGAGCAATATTGTGTCGGGCGTTAATGACTTTAGTCCGGCAATAATGATATTATTCGCCCGGCTATGTTTCCCGGGAAAAGTAATATCGTTCAGTGCGTAAGATTTTCTATTTCAAATTTGCTATTTCAGCCCTGGGCATTAACGGTGGTAATAATGGTAATAACGTCATTTCTGCGGGCAAAATAGTGAAATATTGGACCTTGGGCCTGCGGCCCTTGGTCCAATATTTCACTATATTGCCCGCAGAAATGACGTTATTGTACTATTATGAAGATGGTGACATAAACAGCTGAATATGATTTGTAATAATGGTAATATATGTCTAATGTCACTTATGACATCATCAATTAATTTGGAGTTGTTTTCTTCCGTCGCCTGTTCGTTGTTACTAATTTCTTCCTTTGCCTCTTCATTACAATCATTTTCACTTTCATTGGCTTTCGCTATATTTTCCTTGCCCTATAGAGGCTCAAGCAAGAGCGTCTCTTGCGAGTCCTGAAAACAAATATAGGCAGTTCACACATAGAGAGCTATCCATCTAGGGACCTTGACTTGACAGGAACTTGCATGTAACCGTCCGCTAACATCTAATGTAAAACTAATACAATGCGTTGCTGTCCATAAGAAAGCATGCAATACATACGTATCTGTCTAACGACCTTGCGATTGAAACCTTATTATCTACAATATTTACCACATTTCTGTTCTGCATTTGTCATTTTATGGCTTGTTTATACACAGTTTACGTACAGTTAGTATTTTGAGTGGGTCTGAGGCACATATACTGAGAAAACACATAAAAGGACTAAAAATTATGAACTTCGAAATCTCAGCTGGGTAGGTTTACAGCTTATATTCTGCTTCTTGTAGACCACACGACAGATTTAACTCAATCTTTATAACCATTCACATATGCATCACCGAATGGAACTAGTTGAAAAGGAAAGCTTATCTGTGAATCTTGCCTACAGGCGAAAAAGAGGACATGCTGTCTTTCCCGTCCGCCATTTTTTGTTATCGTTACCGCAAAATTTGGCCAATTGCCTTGTCGTATCTGTCATGCTATAACACTGTGGTTTAAGTAGTGTGTTTCTCTGGTATTTCAAGGTGAGGTAAGGGTGTAGGGCCATTCCTTGGATTGATTTATGAAATAAGCGGGTACCTTGAGAATATTACCATTTGTTCTATTATTATCTTCATATAAATGTATGTACAGGTTTCAAGCCAAATTGTTTAATAAAATGATCTGAACTTTTTACCCAAAAATATTTTCTTTAAAATATTCTCTACATGTTTCAAACGAAATTGTTTGATGGAATGATCTGATATGTAAAGGCAGTTTCATCATATGAAAGTTTAAAACTGATTAGTTTTTGGCCATTATGGTCCTAAAACATATTTTCTATACAAGAGTGTGATACTGTTCAGGATGCGTCCTCGCTTAACATTGCCTTTTGAATTCTCCCTATTATCATTTCTGTTATCATCGACAATTAACTGTCACAAATACTGTATAAATTGTTAAATACTCTTGTGTGTATTTGTGTCATATTGTACATATATATCCTATCGTTGATGTTTATATATAAATCCTGTAATTACTGATATACACTGTATGCACATCTAGATCAAATGTTGACAAAATCCTCGAAAATATTATATCCACAATGAGAAAATGTGTGATTTGATTTATTCTAGTAATAGCTGGTGTGTGTTCTTAGATTGATGAATTATGTTTTACATTAAATGTATGTCTGTGTTGAAGGAAGTAATTCAAGTTCTGTGTTTTATATTATTCACTTCAATGTTCTGGTATTGTTAGACATTTAGTGTTTGGTGATTGTGAAATGTGTCCTTGTGCCATCCTCATGCTGCCAATCTATGGGCTTGGGTGACTCTAGCAGTTCCAATGCATCCCCCACATGTTTGACTAAATCTAACAAGGAGTGTAATAAAACATCACCACTTGAGACATTGTTTGGAAAATCATCATCCAGTAGAGACTTCCACCAAGTTGCAGATTCCAATATTGCAGCTTCATCAAACATATTGCTTGGGAAGTCATCATCACTTGAGATATTATTTGGGAAGTCATCATCCAGTTGAGACTTCCACCAAGTTGCAGCTTCATCAAACATATTGTTTGGGAAGTCATCATCTAGTAGTTTCTGCCACCATTGTGTGTCACTGCTGTGTTTGACATGTTTCAACATCCACAGCAGTACAAGCAGTTCCATTCTGTTGTAAAAACCATTCACAACCTTCACCTCCCTATCAGGATAATATGTATCTGGTAGATAAATGACCTTATCATATAGTCTGTATAGATCTGAATCATCAACACCTCTTCTAAATTGATTGAATATGTATTCTACTGCATCTTCCAAACATCTTCCTATATAAAAGTCAGATCCTGTGCAACTTTTCTGATGATTCATGATAAGGAGTTTGTATGAGTAGGATGAGATGAGAAAATATGGGCGCTTATGGTAGATGAACCAGTAGATTGTGTTATAGAGATGTGAAATGTATTTCAATACAAGGAAAAGCTGTTTATGATGTCCAGTAGGATTGTGTAACTGGTGATCAGGGGCTTGATGTTGAGGCTCCACTATTGATTCAGTCCAGTGGATAGCATTAGGACACTCATTACAATCATCTGGGTCTACAAATGCAGGTACCAATACAGATCCCTCTGTTCCCTGCATACAGAAACAGAGATCTATATCTGTGGTGCCTAATGGTCCCCCCACCCTCAGCCACACACTAGGGCCATGTAGATCTCCATGCATGGTGAATTCCCCTAGTGTGTAGCTAGGGTGCTGTTTCTTCTTATGATTTCTCATGCCAATGTAATGTGAACCATGAGTGTTCTCTAGGTAGATGTGCATTGCAGAATGGAGACTTCCACTTATATTTGTTGTCAACCAGTAGAAATCTCCAGGAGGACCAGGTGAGGAAAGAATACTTTCATAATCCCAATATCTTGAAACTTTGATATCAAGTAGTTGTTGCTGCAGTTGTCCCGAGTGGATATTAACAACACCGTATCCCTTTCCTGCTAAGTCACAGTCATCTCTTACATCACATACTTTAACTGAGGCATCATCAGACAGAGATAATGGATTTAGAAAGTCATACTCTGTTGGACTGACAATCTTTGTTTTATCAACGTAACTGCCTCTGGGGATTGGATCCTTGGTCTTGAATAGTTTATTGTATTCCCCAAAACCTGAACATATTGACCTGACAAAGTCCATAATGTATTCTGTATGATGTTCTAGCTGTGCCTCTGTGTATCTGTTGAAAATGTCCACTTTCGCAGCTGTGACATTAACAAATTCTGTCAGTCTTGCATGACCAGGATGAATTGCTTTGTATTTTCCAGAAGTTTCAAATATTGCTCTTGCCATTGTCATTTTGTCTAATAGTGAAGCGCTGAATGCAGTTATGTTTAAACTACCGGAATTGAGCCTTGAGACAGGTTAACTCACTATAAGTTTGAAATGTAAAATTCAGTTTAGATAAATAACATAAACTAAAACCTCAAGTAGACTTCGACAAAGTATATAATTTATTACCCAAGCTGATTTGATGCTAACACCCTAGTACTTGCACATTTATGGATGCAATTGACCTTTTTTCTTATAAGGTTTTATTTTCAACCTTTGCATTCATCATACATATGTTCATTATGGATTGTAAAAGTGCCTAGTATAAGTTTGATGGTACCCTTGAATAAAGTAAAACAAACATCAAAAAGGAGATTTATAAAAGAAACAAACTTCACCATAAATACAAATCCACTAACATTTTGACCTATCATACGCAATTTAAAATTCAAAGTAAGATAGTGAACAAATTGATTTCGGAAGCAAAATCTGAATATGAATTTAAAATTCGGGAAAAAATTGAGAACACCTCCAAAAATTATGTTGACTACTGGTCTTTGATTCGCGACTTTTTTGGAAAAAATCAAGTTACATCAATTCCGGTTTTATTTGATCCTAATTCCAACTTATCAGCAGCCACCAGCTCTGATAAAGCAAATGTTTTAATGAAATACTTTGTAAGCAAGAACATTGTCACTATTCCAGAGAATCAAAC